TGAGGAGCTCAGATTACAGCTCTGCATCATCATGCCTGGCTTGAGGCTGTCTTTATTTTTTGGAGGAAAGCTTTAGAATTGTCATCTTTGGAGTCCTATTACTAGTATAGTTAGAGCTCAAGTACAGCTTTCATAGGTGTGCTGCAGGGATAGGAATAGAAGAAATTATGCCAAAGAAAGTAGTGATTGATCAACAGTCTTTTCTTATTCTCTTTGTGTTTATAATCCAACCTAACAGTTTTTTAAGAAGATAATAAGAGCTTCCAAGTGATAAACATATGAAGTTTATATTAAACAATACAATAATGAAATGCAGGTTATCAAGATGTATTAAAAGTTGTCATGACCCTTGAGAACCTGGCTCTTTCTGGTACCATTTCTTGTGCTGCTAACAGGCTGTGTGTAGCACTTGTGGTATTCTCCATTCCTTTTCTGTTCATTGATGAAGCACCAAAGGGACCCAAGGGACATCTGAGTTTTTGTGCCTTCTATAACCATTCTTTAGACCCCTTGTGTGCCAGATAGCGAGTGGCCAGGACATGCCTACCGTAGCCATGGCTGTATGCGGGCATCAGAGGAGTTGCCTGTGGAGTGGCTGAGTTCTTTCCTCACATTCCCTGGGTATTGGTTAGGTTGGTGTCAGCTTGCTGTGTGGGAACCTAAGCCACTGCTGGCAGCATGCGTGTTAGGTAGAGGAGATGCCCAGTTTTCAAGGTTTCCATTCTGTGAGAGGGAAGTGAAAGAAGGCAGACGTTCCGTAGAAATCTAGGTGCTGGGGTATGAGAATGCATAGAATATGTATGTTGTTTCCAAAATTAACACTGTTTTAAATGTTTTCTGTGTTTAAAGTTACTCCTGGCTTCCTCTTACATAGTTCGCCTATGTTAGGACAGTGTTTTAATTGCCTGAGGGCCCCAGAGGTAATGCACTCAACTAGCGATTTGTTTTTATTCAACTTTCAAATTGAGAAGGGGAGCTGCTACATTTCTCCTGTGATTACAGTGGTGATAGTGCTCTTGTAGTTTTGCTTATAAGAACACACTCAAGAATTGGAACCTGACATTTGAATTAGTGACAGGTTTCTTCTCTTTATATACACAACTAAATTTTTTAAAATTTAGAAGTGTTAATTTTATTCTTTTTTAATGTATCATTTATTTAATTAGGTTCCTTTTTTTTTTTTCCGCAGAACCAGGGATTTATTTCAGCCCCTTGTGCTTGCCAGGGAAGAGCTTATTCCACTGAGCCATCTCCCCGGCCCCTTAATTAGGTTCTTAGTAAGAAACTTAGAACACTAATTTATGAGGATAAATTCCATTTGTCAGAGCAAAAACATCTCAGGTAGCCCCAGAGCTGAGAAACAGCTTTGATTTTTGCTAAAATCTGTGTGTACACTGCTTTCTGATCCACATTGTGCTGTTCTGAAATCTGGTGTCTCCCTTTCTTGGTGTCAAACATCTCGCCCTCCTGGTGTCTGGGTTTCTGCAGCTGCTGCTTCTTGAAGTAAGCATCGGTGAGGTGTTTGGGAGTTTTCACTTTGCTGATATCAATTTTTGAAGAAGTGGCAATGACAAATTTCTGGTGTGTTCATCATACAGAGGAACACGATTAAGGCTAAGAGGCCCAGTCACAAGTAGCAAGCCACTGGCCAACAGCTTCAGGAAGACCACTCTCTTGCCTCTGTGACGCCCAGTGAGGATGAAGAAGATGGTGCTGGGAGTGATGCTAGCTCGAAGTGTCCTCACATGCTGACTGAAGGGTTTCTAGCCATGGCTCAAGAGCTTTTGGGGCACATCTTTAGTAGGGTAGTATCTAAGCATTTTTCGAAGCTTAACCACTCGGGTACCTCCATTCTTGTCCCCTCTGACTGGTTTTGTAATTGTAGCAAGAACTTTCTTCTCAACCTCTGATTTAACGGTTGTGTACTTTCTCTTGTACAAAGCCTTCCTGGAACACATAGCAGGTTGGGAGTATCTACCAATTCCTCTAACCAGGACAGGATTTTGGCTGCAGTGGGGCTGCCCCTTCTTGCCTTCACCTTACCCTTTTTAGCAGTACCACTGGCAGCAGCCTTCTTGGTCTCAGGTTTCTTCTCTTTGGTGTCTGGCTTCTCAGTTTTTTCATCTGCTATCTTGCAAGATGTGAAAGAGAACTAAGTTTCCAACTTCTGGTCTATAAGTAATGACAGGAAGTAGAGATGTTAATTTTAGCAGTAATATACACATAAATATCACGTGGCTTTTAATTTTTGAGCCACCCAGTGTTTCTTCTGTACTAACACCAGCACACAGTGCTCTGGTTCTGTAAAATGTGGAGTGCATTCCTTACTGGTGATAGAACACAGGTTTTGGAGGCACGTTGAGATTCTAGCCCTAAAGCAGATGCTTAATGCACTGCAGCAGTGTAGAAAAAATGCCATCTACTTTGTAGGAGTTAAGTAAGGAAAGCCCCTGTGTTTTGTAAATACTTATCTTTATAAAATGTAACCAGGTCCCTGGAAAAGGAGTTTCCAGAGCAATTATGTGGATAGTATGCAACATAGCTAAGCTCAACTGAGCTCTTGAGGTTCATACAGTGTGTTAAAATACTAGAACTAGGGTCAAGATATGTGCTTAGCTCTAACTTTGTACTTTCCGCCTTCTTCCATTTTCCTATGGAAAACTTGAAATATAGTAAGGTTTATTTTTGTTTCATGGAGCATAGATTTAAGATAAAGTAGATTACATGGTGTTCTTATTTATAATTGGCAAATGTTAGCTTTTCCTTTTCAGTGTTTATTTTAATGTTTTTCAAACTGTACTGGAAAAAGAAACAAGAAACTCATAACCCACTTCTTTTCACTACTTAGAGAAATAAAGTTAAATAAGTTCTAATAATTTTGTATTTTTTAATTATAATTTTCTGTCATTATTAATATCTCTATTCTAAAATACTGTTAGACCTTGAGGTTAAAATCCAGGAAGAACAAATATGGTGATGGTGGGACAGGAAAAACCTTAGAAACTCTGTTTTGGATCATATTCCTGCCTCATGAGTCCGCCACGATATAAGTATGACTCAATCCCTCTAGGAATTGCATGAGTACACTGAAAGATGTAGTATAGATAACTTCCTGTGCCTGTTTTGAGCTTCTCAACACTAGATGAACCATCTGTATCTTTCTTGAGTGATTTATTCAGAATTCTGCACATTAGAAAAACAAAAAAATAGAGGCTGGTCAGATAGCTCAGTGGATTAAAGTGCCTTCTTAGGCAGACATAGGGACAGGGGTTTGATCCTGGGTGTGCCATGCTGGCGCTACCCCCCTGTTACATGCTGAAATGGTGGATGAGACTGGGCGTGGTGTTGCGTGAGCCTGTGATCCCAGCGCTTGGGAGGCTGTAAACAGGAGGATCACTATGAGCCCAATCTGTGTAGTGAGATTGTGTAGACCCTGTACTAAATACAAAAGAAAAACAAAAAGTAATGGCTAGGATGTAAGTCAGCAATTGAGTTCCTGTCTGGCATACACGAAAGTCCTGGGTTCAATCCCTACTCTAAAAAAAATAAGTCAAATTAAAAAGGGAGAGAGAGGGAGGAGGACATCTTTATATAAAAATCAATATATGTTAAATTAAAAGAAGGAAAAAATCTGTTTCCAAAGCAGAAGAGCATTGTTTTGTAAAAACTTAAATAGAGTAAAATGTAAATAATAAAAATAAAAGTAAGAGGGGCTGGGGAAATAGCTCAGTAGAATAAGCACTTGCCTGGCAAGCACAGGTCTTGAGTTCAAACCCCAGTACTGCCCAAAAATAAATAAATAAAAGTAATATTCTACCCATTGCTAACATCCTGTCCACTTATATTATTTCCTTTGTGTTTTAGAAAAATGATGTGATTTTGTGTGTGTGTGTGTGTGTGTGTGTGTGTGTGTGTGTGTAGAACCCGGGATTGAACTCAGGCCCTTGTGCTTGCCAGGCAAGCACTTATTCTACAGAGCTGTCTCCCTGGCCCCCTGATACTGGTTTTTAATAGCCTACTTGGAAATGCAGAATTAAAGGTCTTTTTTGCTAGGTGTAGGAAGGTACCCTTCCTCCCTGAGAGTCTCTTCCGTGGCACTTGCTCTTGCTCCCCGACCATTTTCTTCATTTCTAAAGTAAGTTTTCCAGGCAGGAGTTTCTGGTGGAAGAAGGTGATGAGATGGTGGCCAATTGCAGAGTAACTTAATAGGTATCATTATACAGTTCCTAATTGGTTATATGTAAACTGCTAGAAAATGCAAAATTGTGCAGCATAAACATCCTTTAATTTGGTGAGTTTTTTTTATAACACGCAAAAAGATTTGAGTGTAACACAAGGAAAAACATTTGTACGTTTACACACAGTGTATGTGTACACATCTCATCTTAAACAATCACAGATGATTGTTAGGAAGTACTAGATGGCTTGTTGCCTTTTCAACATATTCATGATAGGGCGGTAACATGTATGTTTCCACTGGTACATGCATGACTATCCCATTGGGTGGCTTTTTATTAATTAGAAAAAAATACCAATAACATTTTTTAGATTGTGTTACCATTGGTGCAGGTTGCCCGATGGGACAGTGATGCACATACCACTGGTAGTTGAAGGCAGCAGGAATGTGTTAAAAGTTTTATTTTTATTGGTGTTTTGAGACAGGGTCTCCCTATGTAATTGAGGCTAACCTTTAAATTACTACAGACCTTCTGCCTACTGGAATTATGGGAATGCATCACCATGCCCAGCCCATTTTAAATTTGTTAAACAAAAATCCAAGTGGGAATTCATAGAATATTTTTCTCCTAGTAAAAGATAAGCCTGAATAAATGTAGTATTTTAGATTTGTTACTCTGATTTTGTTATTTTAGCACTCTCTAATGACATCAAGAATTGATACAGAAAAAAATACATATACCATGAATGGATACAGTAATGAAATCTCTCTCTCTCTCTCTCTCTCTCTCTCTCTCTCTCTCTCTCTCTCTCTCTCTCTCTAGGTGGCTATCATCCAGTGAAAATTGGAGACCTCTTCAATGGCCGATACCATGTTATTAGAAAGCTAGGATGGGGGCACTTCTCTACTGTCTGGCTGTGCTGGGATATGCAGTAAGTGTTGTCATTTCTGCACTCGATTTTTACACAGTTCATCATCTGTTTCTAAGGAGATATAGCCAAAAAGCATTCCTACTTCATTGTGTTATATAAAGTGTTGCTTAGTATAAGTCTACAAAATTTAACACAGATCTCAGCTAAAATTTCCCCCTTTTAATTTCAAGTTCATTGGTGCAGATATTTAAAAATATGCTATTGTAACTTTATTTTTTAGTCTTAATCTTTCAAATTGCATTTCTTGAAATTACTCTTTTGGTAATTCACGTTAGCAAAATATTCAGATGAAAATAAATAATGTATAGTTTTTTCCAAATAAGTATTTTCTGATGTTAGTTTAAAGCTATGACCCATAGTAATAAATGTCTTGCTCCTCCGTACACATATACGTGTGTACTTTGTGACACAGGAACTGAAAGAAGTGTTAGAACACTTTGCTTTCTCTGTGGTAACTCAAGACACACTCATTTATTTAGAACAAAATTAGAAAACAAAAACATTGTCTTGCCTCATGGACACTCTTTAACTTGGTTCCCATCTTTGAAAAGTAATATTTCAATGGAAAGCTTATTAAAAATCTCTGTTTATTGCATAGATCTTATTATAACATCTCTTCTTTGGCTAGTTATATAAGTAACTATTATGTCTTTTTTTTTTTTTTTTAAGGGGGAAAAGATTTGTTGCAATGAAAGTTGTAAAAAGTGCCCAGCATTACACAGAGACAGCCTTGGATGAAATAAAATTGCTCAAATGTGTAAGTAATACAAAAGAATATGGAAAACAAATGACCAGTTTTATAGAGGAGTTGGGTCGGGGAAACAGCTCAGTGGCACAGTACTTGCCTGGCAAGTGTGAGGTTGTGGGTTTGATTCCTAGTACCACCAAAAAAAAGCCAGGAGATGGCCTGGCAGCACAGCGCCTGCCTGGTGAGCACAGGTCCTGAGTGTGATCCCTGGGATGAAAATAAAACTTATAGAGGACTTTTGAGCAATACTAAAATAAAGGAGAATTTTTATAGGTTCAAATGCTAAATCTTTAATTGGAAAAATACCACTTCAGTAGATTGGTACAGTGGAGAAGAGCCTACATTTTTAGTTCCTCTTTTTTTTTTTTTTTAATTTTTTTTTTTTTTTTTGGTACTGAGGATCGAATTCTGCACCTTGCGCTTGCCAGGCAGTTGTTTCTGCCACTGAGCTATCTCCTGACTAATTCCTCTGATCTTATATTCATTTTTCTTTGCATAGGTTCGAGAAAGTGACCCCAGTGACCCAAACAAAGACATGGTGGTCCAGCTTATTGATGACTTCAAGATTTCAGGCATGAATGGAATACGTATCCTTGTTGATGGCCAAATTATAGTGGTTCTTTTTGTTTGTTTTTACTTTAAAACAAACAGGATTAAAGTTTTCCTACAAACTTCTGTATCCCCTCTACATGAACCTTCTAGGATCACTATGAGTTCTTATTAAATGGGGTACCTAGAATGGCTTGATTTTGGCTGCAATTTTTTTTTTTTAAGATTTGTTTTTAATTTCCTTTTTAAAAAATTTTTTTTGGTGGAACCAGGGATTGAACTCAGGCCCTTGCACTTGCCAGGGAAGTGCTTATTCCACTGAGCCATTTCCCTGGCCCCTTTGGCTGCAGTTACTGTTCTTTTGTCAGTAATTATGATGTTTGTGCTGCATAGGTAGAAGTGTATGCCAGTACTTCTCAGTGCTTTAAGTTTTTTAAAACTCTGCATGAGGGCAGTGAGGCTGCAAAGTGTGTAAGAGGCTAAAGTATTTGTTTACTCAATAAAAGAAAAAGTGCTGTGTTAATGCGAGCTTCCCAAATTGTATTTTAAGGACTGTTAGCACTGACTAGTCCTAATCCCTCTGCATTCTATGTCCAGGATAATAAAACTGAGTCTTAAATTAGTTTCCCTAAGGAGGATTGTTGCTGGTAGGAGAATCCTAAAGTCTGAGTCCCTATCCTGTGTTGTTTGCTGGCACATACATGCTGCATGCACTCTCGCCTCAGTGCTGGAGATGGAGACCAGGCCCTCAAGGCTCCTGGGCAGCTGCTTTTCCACTGAGCCATACTACTTGCTTCCTGGTTTTATTTGTTTTACTTTGTTCATTTTGCAAAAGCCCAATAAGAGTGGTGACTTTGTGTGTGTGTGTGTGTGTGTGTGTGTGTGTGTGTGTGTGTGTTACAAGGGGTTGAATTCAGGGCCTTGTGCATGCTTGACAAACACTGTACCACTGAGCTATATTCCTAGCCCAAGCCTAGTAAAAGTAAATTGGGGGCCAGGGAGATGGCTCAGTGGAATAAGCACTTCCCTGGCAAGTGTAAGGGCCAGAGTTCAATCCCCGGTTCTGCCAAAAAAAAAAAAAACAAAACAAACAAGTAAAAGTAAATTAATGTTATTTTTTATAGTAGTTGGAAGAGATCTCCATTGTTTTCTGTTAAAACTTTTATTATAAAAGTTTTCAAATGAAATGTAAGAGTAGCATAGTACAATAGTTTTTTATAAATTTGTCACCAGAATTCAATAATTATGATAGTCTAGTTATAGTTCTCTATTTTTTAATTTTCTTTCCATGTTGCTAAATTATCATAAGACAAAATCCAGATGTCATATTCTTCTAGCTGTATTAATACCAATATGCATCTTTTGAAAAAAAATACAGATTTTTACTTTATTGATTCTAGGAGTCAAGCCCAGGTGCTGTACCACTGAGCATTGTCCTTGCCTTTTGTATTTTTTGAGATAGGGTTACCCAGGCTGACCTCAAATTTGTAGTCCTTATGTCCCAGCCTCTTGAGTATCTGGATTATAGTAGACTAAATAGGAAAAAGAAATCAACGTAAGTTAACAATAATATGTCAGTGTCATGTCACACTTTCTCATTTTTTTAATCACAAAGTGACTGTTCTCTGACAGCTTTTAAGATTCTGTCTTTTGGTTGAACATCTGGAATTTTAACTGTGATGTGTTTTGGGGTGCCTTTAAAAACATTAGTTAATTCACATTTTATATTCCTTGCTTACCTGTATGTTAAAATCTTTGCTTATAATTGGTTTAAAGGGATGCAGGAGCTAGTGATCAGAGGGTAGTGGTAGGGACTTCCTACCTGCCCCTCCCTCTCCTTTGCCTAAGGAGTTGACAGTGTGTAACTCCAAAGGGCAAACTAGAGAGAGAGAGACAGACACAGACAGTATCCCAAGACATAAAGCTTATAGCTGAGAGCACAAATGGAAAGAGAAGATTATGTCTAGAAATGCCAAAATACTTGTTCTTATGTCCATGCTAAAGCCCTGAGATCATCCTTTGAGCATGGAGCTTCACATAACCTCTGAGAAATGACTCTAGCGCCTCAGCCAGCTTGATGCTGGTGTTGTTTTCTTAGTTATATGCTGATCTCCAAATACGTCAAGGTACATGCTTTAAATGTGAATAGCACCTTGTATGTTAATCTTTTTTCAGTGATTAAAAAGTGATTTAAAATATTTTTAAAGAATTCCACATTCCCGAGTTTTCATTATTACAGAATGTCTGCTCAGCTTAAGAGATCCCTTAGAATGTAGCTCTGTATGGGTCGGGATCTGCTGTGGCTACCGTTGGACTCTCTTAGGCAAGCTCCTTGCTTCCACGGTGGGGGTCATTATATTTCCTGAAGTGATTTTCAGAATAATGTATGGGATGTAGTAAGTCCTTAGTGAAGAAACATCAGTTCTTTCTATTTAGATGAGACAGAGTAAGTGACTACTTTGGTATTATTGATAGCATCAATGTGGTATTTTACAAAGAAATTAATGCTTTATAAGTGCCACACACGGTGCTGCTTTTCACACCTGCCTCATTCCTCAAAATGCATCCACAAACGGTCCTTAACCCTATCCCAGATGTGTGCATGGTCTTTGAAGTGCTTGGCCACCATCTCCTCAAGTGGATCATCAAATCCAACTATCAGGGTCTCCCAGTACGTTGTGTGAAGAGTATCATTCGACAGGTAAGCTTTTGGACACACATTTCTCCCCCAGTTTGCTAACCTTTCATATGGACTTGTATTTTTAGTATGTGAATCAATAACAGTTTGAACTGTTGCTAAATCAGTTTTGTACTAACTTAATGGTATGTCATGTCATCTTGTGAAGGAAACAATGCAAATGTCAGTTACACATCTCTTTTGGCATATCTGTCTTTTTAAAGGTAAGTGATACAATATAATCAGAAATTGTTATATCCCATATACTTACTATAAAATATCCCTCTTAGTTTCTTAGAAATATAAATGAATACAGTAAATTACTCCTTTTTTAATTGTTTTCTTAGTATCCTTAGAGTGAAAATAAAAAATCTTTGAAGTTACTTACAAATCCACTTTCAAGGGGAGTACATTTAGGGAATCTAATTGACAGCACTGTGGCTGTACTACCACTGCATTGTAAAGCTGGGTGTGGTGACGCACACCTGTTGTCTTGGTGCTTGGAAGTGTGAGGCAGGAGGATTAAGACTATTTAATGAGACCCTGTCTCAAACAACAAAAAAAATCCTTATTTTATACCTGAAATTTGCAGAAAACATACATATTCTCACAATATACAAAAATGAACTTAAAGGATAGGTTAGTTAATTCATTTGTAGTAATCATTATACAATGTATAAATAAATTACAATATCACACATTACACGTAAATATATACAGCTTTTATTATGAATTATAACGCAGCAAAATTGGAGGAACAGCTGTGGAATCATGAGAGGAGTGGCTGGAGGAGAAATGCTCTCTACATTCGCTTCCACTAGTTGGGCTGAAATACAGCCACATGAATTGAGGTTATATAGGGAGCATTGTATTAGGTAAATACTTTGTTCAGTTTCCTTACTGAAAGAAAATCCTCACTTAGGTACTGGCTTAGAAAAGATGTTTCAGTAAGTGTTGGTAGAATTAAAATAGGCAGAGATGGAGGATCTAATTAGCAGTGTTTACCAGATTCAGTTTTATGCATGAAATGTGTAAGTCTGTATTCTGTTTATTTTCTATACTTCCTCAGTTGGGGAATTTGCAGATAATGACTTAGTCTAGATTACCTTAAGGTGTAATGACTGATTATCATAGACAGTTCCACAGGGTAATAGTATGTCAAGGAATTGTTTGCTTTGCTTGAGAAGATGGCTATATATTAGGAAACCCATCCCATATCCTCAGGACCAGAGCTTGCACTAGGTCCCCTGGAGATTTCAGACATAAAACATAGGTCTAGAAGGTTGAAATAGGAAAAGAATCACAGTGGCATCTATAGAGATTTTTCAGTTCGACAGATAGGTGTCTTTAAAATGAGCCTTCCTAACAAACTCATTTTGTTAAAACTTTCAAAGCTTAAATTTGCATAGTGAAAGTATCCTAGATTATATTTCTGAAATTGTAAGTAGGTAGCTTTCTTTAGCTTGGCTGTGTGCTCCTCAATCATCTTGTCCTTTTGTGTTGCAGATCGACAGCTTGTTTTCTGACAGTACAGTGTTACTTGAGGACAGGGCTGGTGGGTGGGGGAAGGCTGTCTGCCTTGGCTTATCTCAGTTGGCCTGAGACTCTGTTTCATGACATGCTTGGAGTATATGCATGCTTTACTTTAATAATAAAGCTGTTCACTTTTAGATTTTAGGTAATAGCATTTTTATTCATTAGTTTAACACAGGCTAATATCTCCAGTGAAACAGCAGATTGAATGTAGAAGAGGATATGTGGTGAGGTGAACTTAACATATTAAGCAGTTATTCTATTCCAGATGACACTTAGGTATTTGTAGCTTTTGGTGATTCTAAAACTCTTTGAAAGACCATCTTGTTCAAACTTGTGAAAAATCTTACAAAGTATCCCTAAATCATGTAATATTAAAGAATTTACATAGTCAGATTGATAGTCGTTTAGAAACAGCTGCCTGTGTGTGTCACATAGGCTCCATCAGTCACCAAAACCCATCTGAGCCTGGACCCAGTGCTGTCTGCTAGCTGTTGGCCATGTGCTTGGATCTTGGGGTGTGTACTTACTGGACTGTGTGAAAAGTTGAATTTATAGGGGCTCGGGGTGTTTATTTGAGGGTGGGAAAACAAATCTAGATGTTCTTTTAGCAAGTGAAGAAGATGGTGAAATGAACATGCATTTCTGAGAATTGAATGGAATTGCTGAGTGTAACTGTTATCCTGGCTGAATTCACATAGCCTATTCTTTGTGAGGACTGAATGTTCAGAAAGAATTTCACAGTGAAATTTTGATTTTGTCATCTTCCATGCCATGTTAGTGAAATTTGCTTTTGTTGAGGGGAGTGTGCCCATATATACTTGAGAAAAAGATGAGATCTGGAATTTTCTTCTAAGCTTACTTAGAAATTTCATGTAGTAAATTGTTACATATCTCAGTCAAGAGTCTATACATGTATTAAAACTTTATTCTCTTTGATTTAGCCTGTGGGCTCAGTATTTCTGACTCTTGAGTAGTACTGGGAAGATACTTTATTGATAGACCCCCAAAATTATATAATTTCTCAGAACAAACCAAGATGGGCCAGTTCTCCCTGTATTCTTCACTGTTGGCAAACTCTCCTTCAAAACCAGGTACACTGACAACGATTTAGTTGTCCTTGTTGTCACTAGCCATTCATTACCAGGCACCCAGGCACCGAACCCTTACATTGTCTTGCCTTTTACCTTTAACATTCTGTGTTTTCAGGGTCATCATCTTTACCTCAGGCCTGACCACCTCCTGCCAGTACCTTTTCGTATGCCTCTCGCTACTCTCCCTGTGTGCAGACCATCTTATTCCAGTTTGTTCTCCTTCTTATTGCCAGTTACCTTAAATAAAGCATTGCTTTAATAATTCATATTCTCCACTTAGAAGTCTTTACTGGCTTGCCAGTGCCTGTTTGCTAAAGCATAATGTTCTTGGCTTTGTGAAGCAGTATAGGGAATGATGAAGAGGTTGGCTTTAGAGTTATGTTTACCCTGCTGGAGCCAAAACACTTTGTCCATGTTGTTTAACTTCTTTAAGCCAAAATTTTATTGTGGATGAAGTAGGTGTAACAGTAAGACCTTCCTCATTAGATTATTGTGAACATATTAAGAATACACTATAAATATTATGAAATACTGCTTCCTCTGCGCTAGCTGCAGATCTGAATACTTGTCTGCCAGTTCATTTTAACTGTTGGTTTGGCTGGGTGTAGAGATTTTTTGAGGTGCTTAGATCTTGAAGTGTGTACTTACTGGACCCGTCCACTGATTTCATAGCTGCATGTCCTATGAGGACTGAACCCTCTGAAAGTGAGCCAGAATAAACTTCTCCCTGAATTGTGGGTGTGTCAGATATTTGGTCCCAGCAGTGGGGATACAGTTTAACATGGTTTACTCACTGAATCTTCACAATATCCTTACAAAATAGGTATTATTTCCTGATTTTATGGAAGAGGAAATTGAAGAGTAGGGTAGGTAATTTAGGCCCTAGTCAGAAAATAAAAGCACTTTAAAAGTACCAAGTATTGGAGCAGGAATGGAAACTCAAGTAGTCCATCTTGAGAGAACATGCATTCAACATTTTTTTTTGGGGGGGGGGGCAAACAGTATAGAGTATGTTTGGAATGGTACTGGGCCTGTATCTAATGGAAGTGAAATCACTTCTTCCAGAGAACTTATTTAAGGTCTTCTGTCATCTGGTGTCTGCCCATATTTTCCCTCACAAACAACAGTTTATCTCCTTCAGGTACCAAGTGAGTATGCAAAGATCTCCCGAGCAGTTGTAAGCACATGCAGGTTTACCAGAATTTTTATTTGGAACTTGTTACTTGTTCATTTTGTGTGTAGTTTAAAGAAAGTGATGATCAGTTTGACTCCTAAATGTACCTTGCCAGGTTTTTAAAAATCTGTTTATTTATTTGGTACACTGGGGATTGAACCCGGGTCCTTGAACTTGCCAGACAGGTGCTTAGACCGCTGAACTATCTCTGCAGTCCCCTTGCCAGTTTTTATTTCCACATCTTTAATCATTTATTTATTTGCCTTGAGCTGTTGAAACTGCTTTTTTTTTTTTGTGGTTCTGGTGATTGAACCCAAGACCTATGCACTGAGTTGCCTGTCTTTCTTTCTTTCTTTCTTTCTTTCTTTCTTTCTTTCTTTCTTTCTTTCTTTCTTTCTTTCTAATGTATTTAATACAAGGTCTACAGGGTCTCACTACACAGATTGGACTCATAGTGATTCTCCTGTTTTCAGCCTCCCAAGTGCTGGGATTATAGGCATGCGCCACCACGCCCAGTCTCCAATACCATCTCAGCGCACCCCGGGAGGGGGCGGGACCTGCATAGTACACCTGGGTTCGAACCCCAGCCTCTGCGTCTGCCTAAGCAGGCACTTTAATCTGCTGAGCTATCTGACTGGCCCTGCATTTCTTTTTAAAAGTATTTTATTTTGAAACAGTCTTCACTGAATCACTAGGTTGCCCAGGCTGGGCTCCAATCTAGGGTCCTTTTCCTACAGCCCTGGGATTATAGGTATGTGTAATAATAGCAGATTCCCATCATTTAATTTGTAACCACATTTTAAAGGGCCAGCCAGAACCCTCTGTACCAGTACCCCAGCTGAGAGTGGTACATATGTCTTCTGTGGACGCCTGCAGACTTCATTCACTCCTTCTGCTAAATGAGGTATATTATGTAAGGGCCAGGTGGCCTCAATTCTGACACAGTCAGCGTTTTCAATTGGATAAGTCTTTGTTGAGGATGTTTGTCTTATACATTCTGAAGTATGCACCAGCATCCCTGGGCTCTGTCACCTGGATGCCTCTGGGCTTGTGAAATATCTGAACTTGGTCAGATGTCCCCTGGGGGCAAAATTTCCTCTCTGCAAACCATTTGAATAAGAAAGAGTGCAGAACATACACATTCAGGCAGCAAATTTTATTTCATTTGTGGCCTTAGTGCTGCTTTTTTGTGACCCTCATCAAATTACTGAGCCTATTTCCTT